AGGCCACAGTGGCCAAGCGTCCGTGTACGCGGGGTCTGCACGCAAAGCAGGAGGCGCCCGGGCAGTAGTCGCTCCCGTCCCTCTTCCCACCTCACTTCTTGGCAAGCTTCTCCTTCGTGACCAGGTCGGAGAACTCTGCAAGGGGAAGGTGAGAGGGCGGCGTGGGCGGCGGGGCTTGGCCACCCCTTCTCTGCTGGGGGGGCTCCAGCCCTGCCTTGGGGGCTCGGGAGCCTTTTCAGCTCCCCGGCACTTCCTCAGAGCCTGCCACGGTGCACGGCCACGCTATGGTGCGCTGCCGGGCCGTGGCTGGACGCTGCCCCTCCGCGGGCACGAGCTGCAGAGAGCGAGGGGCTGTTGGGCTCGCCACCCGGCTGCCCCTACCTTGGAAGTCAATGCGCCCGTCCCCATCCGTGTCAGCTGCTTGGATCACGGCTTCGGCCTCCTCATCCGATAAGGGCATCACGGGCATGTTGCTGGGCACGGTGGACAGGATGTACCTGCGAGGCAGAAGGCGCCAGCTCAGGGGAGGGCAGGAGGCTGCACCCGGCCCCCGAGACGGGGGACAAGGGAGGTCTGCGACGCAAGTGCTCCGAGACCCACGGCTGCTTCGGCAGCGCGGCAGAGGTGGGAAGCCGAGCAAAGCCCCCCATGCATGGATGCCCAGGGCCCCCCCAAGAGGCGCCGAAAGCGTGTGGCTGGGAGCGGGGTCCGGGCCCGGGGCAGTTACTTGATCTCGTTCCACTCGATGAAGCCGCTGTTGTCCTTGTCCAGCATCTGGAAGGCCTTGCGGATGTGCTCCTCCCGCCCGCCCGACGTCGGGAACTTCTGCATGTACTCGAAGAACTTGGTGTAGTTGAAGGAGGCTGCAGGTAGAGAGGCGGAGGGGTGGAGGGGACAGCAAAGGGTGCAGGACGTGCAGCAGCCCCAGTCCTCGCTTCTGGGCTGCTCCGAGCCAGAGCCCAGCTGCTACGTCTGGGCTCCCCCCGGACCCCGCGGCCAGCCCAGCCCCTCGGTACCGTGGTGCCGCATGTCCGTGGGCAGCAGGTCGATGTCCTTGTCTGTCAGCGACGTGCCCATGGCCAGCGCCACCTTCTTGACCTGGCTGGGGAAATCATCCTCCATCCTGCAGGGCGACGGTAGCTGCCGGTCACTGGTGCTGGGAGCCAGGGCCCGGTTTCCCCTGCCCACCCCGGGCAGCGCGGTCTGGGCCCCTGACCCCGGGGCTCTGCCTGGCGCTTCCCCGCTCACGGGGGGCCCTGACTGCTCCAGAGACGAGCCCCGGGCACCGCAGTGCAGCCCCCTCCTGCCCCGATCCACTGCTGCCCTGTCGGTGCCGGCCAGGCCTCCGTGCAGGGTGCTGCTCGTGGGTGTGGGAAGACGCCGTGCTGCTTTGTAGGGTGTTTACAGCATGACCCTGCTGCCCAGCTCTGCCCCGGGGACCCCCTTCCCCAGCACCAGTCACCTCCCAAGCTCCCCTGTCTGATCTCCCCGTGATCTTTAATGAGCGCAGGGAGATGAAGCTGCCTGGGGGTGCAGGCAGGGTCCGGCAGTGATCCCCTGGAGAAGGAGCCGGGACCCCCGGAGTTGCACCCAGCAGGTAGAGCTGAGCAAGGAGCAGGGTGCATGGGCTCGTCTACCCCCCACCACACACCCAAGCCTCTGGGAGCTTTGCACAGACCCTGGGGGCTTCCCTGCTGTGCTAGAGGAGCTGCTTTCTGAAGACCCCGTGTCAGGTCCAGTCGCTCTTCCAGGGACTCCCTGCCCCCCGGGTGTGCTGGACCGGGTCCTGCAGCGGGGTCTGTGCTGGCTGGAGCTGACTGGGCAGACGGGGACGTTGGCTGCACATGGAGGGAGCCCGTGCATGAGTTTCGAGCCCTGGCTGCCTCTGGAGATGGTCGTGACCCTGTCTGTGCCTGGCACTGAGGCTGCCCGAGGTGGCTGAACTCTCACCTTGCAGCAGAGCACATCTGGGGCCAGGGCCAGGCCCAGGCCCCGCAGGTGCCACGGATGGGGCTGGTGTTCCCCTGTCATGCTCCCCTGCCAGCCTGTGGCACCCACTGCATCACCCAGCAGGTCCCGTGGCCCCCAGCCCCTTGGGCTGCAGATGGGAGCTGCACAGGTTGTTGTCGGCCCCAGGGCTGGGCCTGCTGCTGGGCTCAGGGTGCCGCTGAGCAGGACTGGTGCTTGCAGGGCTCCCGGGAGAGGTGGGAGTGCGGCCCAGTCGCACGCCCCAGTGCCTGGAGCGCAACGCGAGATCGGCCAGCGCAGGTGGCCCCGGCGCGCTCCTGCACCCCCATATTTAGGGTGGCTGAGCACGGATGGACGGGTCGTTTTACGCGTGACCTTTCCCGGCTGCTGGATGCAGCCTGCCCCCGCGCCTGGTGAGCACGGCCCTTTGCCCGGCCGGCCCCGAGGGACGCGATGCCCCAGCCAGGATTGGCTTCAGCACTCCCTGGACATGCTCGCTTCACGGGACAGCCCAGGGCAGACTCGTCTAAGGTCGCGCGGCGCGTGACGGTGCCCGTCTAGAGCCCGCAGGCCTTGCTCCAAGCAATGACCGGCCGGCTGCCCCTCTGTGCGCCAGGGGACTTGCCCCTGCCCCCCCGGGGGGGAGGGCTGTGGAGGGGCTGCTTCTCGCCACCCTCCGCCTTGCTGCCCCAGCCCCTGGAAAACCCCCCTCCCTGCCCGGGCAGCGGGGTTATTTCAGGGGCTCGGCTGTTGTTTTGCAGCAGGCTCCCTCCTCTCTGGGACTCTTCTGTTCCCGGGGCAGCATCTTGTGATGTGGAGCCGCTCTAGAGTTACCCTCAGCCGAAATAGCTCGGGCCTCCCAGCGGGCTCTCCGGTTCCGGGCGGCTATTTCTGAAAGGCCCACGCGGCCCCGGGGGCACGCAGCTCTCGGTGCAGGCGGGGGGCTGCTGCACCAGCTTTGGGGGGCACCGGGGAGCTCCTGCTCTTCCCCCAGGAGCCAGGCAGCGTCTCCTTCCTCCTCTTTGCTTTCCAGCTGCTGCCGTCTCTCAGCCCCCTCGGCTCGGGCAGCTGCGCTCTCGTGTGCCGCCTCGTCCTGCCTCTTGCTGTCTAACGAGCTGCCTTCTGCCCGGCGGCCCCCGCCGCCATGGCTCGCAGCTCAGCTCCCCCGGGCGAGAGCGGAGCACGGGGGGCCTGAGCGTCAATGCTGCCTGCAGCAGGGCTGCCCTGGGGCAGAGGTGCCGGCTGCTGGGCTCCTGCTCTTGCTGCCTTGCCTTTCTCTGGATGCTGCGGGGGAGCCGAGTCCCTTGCCTCGGGCTTCTGACTAGCCACGTTTATAGGTGCAAAAACTTCTCTCTCAAGCAGTTTCCTCCACGCCACATATCCAGAGCGTGCCTGGCCGGCGGCCGGCACAGAAATGCTCCCTGCGTGGCTCTGAGCCCGCGGCCCCGGCTCCCCCCACCACGTCACTTTGCTTGGGGCCTGGTGCAGCCGGCGGGAGCCTGCCCCGTCCCCCCCACTGGCGTCTGCACCCAGGAAGCAGGGGGGCCTCCCGGCTCAGAGCACTGGCTGGGAGAGCAGGCCCCGGCTCTGGAGAGATGGACACCGGCCTCTCTGGCACGGCCTTGCTGGGCAGGCCCTCGCTCCCTTTCTGGACTGCCCTCGGCCTCATTTCCTTGCAAAAGCATCCACTGATGCTCTCAGGGCCTCACTCGTCCCTGCTCCTCTGGGCTTACCTGGCACAGGTGTCTTGAGCGGCTCCTTCCCGAACGGGGCTTCGGCGAGTTCTGGGGGCGCTGAGCGCGTCTCTAGCTTTTATAGCCAGCGCCGGGGCTTGCTATTTCCAGAGAGCTGCACCTGTCGGGCTCAGCCGCTCTCCTGGGCCCTTTCAAGACGTCGGCAGGAGGCGGCTCGGGTTCTCCTGGAGCAGAGCAGCCATGGCAAAGCCTGGCAGGCGACCGGCAGTGCGGGCTGCGGCTGTGCAGGAGGAGGGAGCTTCTCCATCCCAGGGGCTTCTGGAGTCGCAGCCGGGCTGCTGCTGAGCGCCGAGGTCGGAGTCACCAGACGCCACGGCCTCGCGGACCGGCTGGCCCAGGACGTGGCATCGCGCAGCAGGCCTGGCATCCAGAGGGGAGCCTGCCGCAGGACCCTGGCCATTGCACCGCTGGCATTGCCTCTGCAGACAGACGTGCCCCGTGCTGGCAGATGTGCCTGGCATGGGGGGCACCGGCATGAACACCTCCACGACACCGAGCTCCTTTTCCGGCCCTGGAGGGTCTCCCTGGCCCTACAGCCCCCTGTGCTTCTGGACGCCCAGGCACGGCACTGCGTGGCTCTGTCCGTGCCGGAGGGGGTGATGCTGAGCTGACCGGGGCACAACCTCCCCGAGGCCTTGGGCTGAGTCGCAAAGGCCTGTTTTATTTTTGCAGGGGATTTTTTGGCAACAAAGAGGGAATAAAAATTGAGGTGTGGCTTAAGGACCCCTGGCTCCCACTGCGGCTGGGCTGGTTGGGGAGGGTCCGAGTTGTGCTCCAGCAGCTCTTCTGCACCCCAGAACCACCAAGGCAGCCTCCTCCGGCACCCCCCGACCCGGGGCCCGGAGCTGGCAGTGCCCAGGTCAGGCTCAGGATGGAGAAGACCCTTTGGAGGGAGCCCCTCCTGTGGCTGCAGGGAGGCCAGTGCCCCCGTGAAAGCAAGAGAAGGCACATCTGCTGCCCTGGGCACGTTGCATGGAGCAAAAACAGGCGAGTCCTGTATCCAGGACAGGAGCGCGGTGCTCAGGACGCCCTGGGGACACCGTCACCATCCTCTGAGGAGCTGCAGGGTGGAGACACGGAGCAGGGCACAGCCCCAGTGCCAGTCCCAGCCTCTGGCACCACAGGGTGCCCTGGGAGTCTCTGGCAGGCACCAACTGGTGGGTGATAATTGATGGTTATTCTCACCGAGCTCCCCCCCACCCCCCGGTTAAATTTAGGCCGAGCATGACTCAGCTCCTGCAGCCACCAAGCAAGCGGCCCCTGCTTTGCTTCTCCGCCGGCCCCCCGCCGTGCTGCGGGAGGTCACCTCCCCGGGTGCCCTGCTGGGATGCAGCTGCCGGGAGCCTAGAGGGATGCTCCCCCTGCCAGCAGCCGTGCCTGGGTCTTGGTCCTTACAGGCAGCTCCGCGCAGGGCCGCCCGCCCACCCCTGGCGCGGCAGAGATCAGACTTCAGTGCACAGGGCAGGGGAGCCGGGACTCCCGGGCTCTCCGCCTGACGTACTGCACAGCTCGGGCAGGCTGCTCCTTTGCTCCTGCACTGGTTTCTAGAGCAGACACCCTGAGACACCCCTCCCCTCCGCCCCCATGGGAAGGGGCAGAGTAGCCTCACATCTGGAGGAGTCCTGCAGCTGTTGGGCCCTGCCAGGCAGGGGAGCCTGGTTCTGCATGACCCCAGGGCCTCAATCCTTGGAGCTGCGAGGAGCTGGGGGTGCATGGGGGAGAGAAAGCTCCAGCCCTGATCTCTGTAATTGTGGCCAGAGGGTTGCCCGGCAGGAGCCCAGCGCCTCTGCAGACCCACCTGCAAACCCTCCTGCATTTGCAAGCCGAGCTGCTGCCAATTAAGAGGCTCCTTGCAGGGGAGAGTCTGGGAGCCTTGGCCCAAAGTGCAGGGACTTTCCTGAGGGAAAAAGCGGAAGATGTGAGCGGCTGCAGGGACCCAGCCGGGATCCTCAAGGTACTGCTGTGCGCAGGGGCCCTGCCACGGGGGACTAGTCCCCAAAAGCCCCCCAGTGCAGTGAGCTGCTCTCGGTGCCCCCTGCCCCCATGCAGCCCGGTGCCTGTCACCAGCCCGGGGCTCCTGCTCCAAGACAGGCCACGGGAGGCTCCAAAACCACGGTCTCCCGAGCTCCGGGGGGAAGGATCGGGCTCTGCCTGACGAAGACGGCTCCGCGGGGAATATTTAGTGGCGAGCAGATTGCAGCTTCTCCAACAGCAGCGCTATCTGTAGCGGGGCGACGTCTGCCGCGTGCCGTTCTGGGCCTGCTCAGGCCTGGGGACAGGCGGTAGCGCAGGACGAGGGGAAGGCCCGGAAATCCTCCGCGCGGAGCTTGTGGAGATCAGGGGCTGAGTCGAGCACCAAGGCTTGCGCGCCCCTCCGGCGAGGAAAGCTGCTTGTGCTGG